TGTTTATTAAATACTTTCTAAACAATGACTTTGAAGACAACAAATCATATTCACTATGTACATACAATTATTTTCAACAAGTCAAAAAAAATAAAAAATAAAAATAAAAAATAAATAAAATAAAAAAGTTTAGAAAAGAATATGATACCAAATGATAGACTTGAACTTGTTATCGTGTTGAATCTTCAAAGATGATGATCTATTAGGTGTTTTTTGGCTACCTTTCACATTACACAAATGCCTCACAGATTTCAAGAAATATAAAGAGAGAGGAAGAGAGAGAAATTTTGAGCTATAAGGAGTTCTCAATGAATTTTTTTTGTGCCCTGAAAATAATGCCTGAGTCTGCTATTTATAGACGTCAGACCTAACCAGAACGGCCTATTCTGGATTCGGAATGACCCGTTCTGGATCATTTAGTTATGAGTTACATTTGAACCTGGAACAACCCGTTCTAAAGGCGGCACGACCCATTCCCAATTTGAACGTTTCCCATAGTGAACTGTATTGGAACGGCCGTTCTAGAAGCAAAATGGCTCGTTCTAAAGTCGGAACGACCCATTCCCAATTTAAACATTTCCCATAGTGAACTGCACTGGAACGGCCTGTTTTGGCCCGTTCTCAATTTGGATTTTAGGTGTTTTTAGTAACTTGGAACGACTCATTCCAATTTAAGAACGGCCCGTTCCGGTTTTGGAACAGCCCGTTCTTGGCTACTAAAATCAACCTATTTGGGCTTCAAGCCTCCTTGTTGTCATATGGTGTTGCCTCCATATTTTGGGAGCTCCTCCGCTTCATAGTAGACGTCCATTTCATTATTTTGGTGGGTCTGGATAAAATTGGTTATTCACAAGAAGAAAGATGGGAGCATAAGATTGTGTGTAGATTATAGGCAATTGAATAAGGTGACAATTAAGAATAGGTATCCTTTGCCTAGGAAAGATGACATGATGGATCAGTTAGTAGGAGCTACAATGTTCAATAAGATCGAATTGAGATCTAGTTATCACCAGATTAGGGTGAGGTTTGAGAATGTCCTGATGATTGCTTTTAAGACCCGCTATGGGCACTATGAGTATTTGGTTATGCTGTTTGGTGTAACTAATACATCCAGAGTTTTTCATGGATTACTTGAATAGGATATTTCACCCATGTTTGGATAGATTTGTAATTGTTTTTATAGATGATATCCTAATGTACTCTAAGTCTGGTAGTGAGCATGAAAAACACCTTAGGGTAGTGTTACAAACCCTTAGAGATAAGCAATTGTGTGCTAAGCTTTCTAAGTGTAAGTTTTGGTTTAATAAGGTGAGTTTTCTAGGTCATGTAGTGTCGGAGGGAGGAATAGTTGTAGAGAGGTCATGTTTGAGTGGAGTATGCCTAAGTCAATATTTGAGATTAGGAGTTTCTTAGGATTAACAGGGTATTATAGGAGGTTCATAGAGGACTTCTTTAGACTATCCTTGCCTTTAATTAAGCTAACTAAGAAGAATCAACCTTTTGTGTATTAATGTAGGATAGGAAGGTAGTAGCCTATGCGTCTATACAGCTTAAGACTCATGAACAGAACTATCTTACCCATGACTTAAAGTTAGTGGCTGTGGTTTTTGTACTTAAGATGTGGAGACATTACTTTTATGGTTCTTGGTTTGAAGTGTTTAGCGATCATAAAAGCCTTAAGCACTTATTTGACCAGAAATCACTTATTTGACCAGAAAGCACTTAATATGAGGTAGAGGAGATGGTTAGAATTCCTTAAGGATTATGATTTTAGCCTAAATTACCACCCAAGTAAAGTTAATGTTGTAGCAGATGCCCTGAGTAGGAAGATCATTCACCTATCATCTTTGATGATTAGAGAGTTGGATTTGATTGAGTAGTTTAGAGACTTTAGCTTGGTGTGTGAACTTACCCCTAGGAGCATTATATTGGGTATGTTGAAGGTGACTAGTGGATCAATAAATGAGGTTAAATAAGTCCAAAAGTTAGATCCTTTCTTAGTAAGCCAAGTGGAGAAGATTGATAGAGGTGTAGATAGCCCTTTCTGAGTAAAAGTTGATGATGTTTTGAAATTCAAAGATAGAGTTTGTATGCCTAGTAATCTTGAACTTAAGAAGATGATCTTAAAAGAAGGACACAAGAGTACTCTTAGTATTCACTATGAGTTACTAAGATGTATCAAGACCTTAGGAAGATGTTTTGGTGGCCTAAGATGAAGAGGTAGGTAGAAGAGTTTGTGTGCTCGTGTTTAGTATGCTAGAAGTCTAAGGTAGAACACCATAAGCCTTTAGGACTTTTGCAACCTTTAGATGTCCCTATTTGGAAGTGGGATAGTGTGTTTATGGATTTCGTGGTAGGTTTGCCTAGGATGTTTAAGAAGTATGATTTTATCTGGGTTATAGTGTATAGGCTCACCAAGTCTGCCCATTTTACTATTAACATTAGATATTTCTTGGAGAGGTTGGTAGAGTTGTATATTAGGGAGGTAGTGAGATTACATAGGATTCCCTCTAGTATAGTTTCAGATAGAGACCCTAGGTTTACCTCTAGATTTTGGGAGAGTCTTCATAAGGCCTTGGGTATGAAGTTTAGGTTGTGTTCAGCATATCATCCTCAGACTGATGGTCAAATCAAGAGAACCATACAATCCTTAGAAGACCTTCTTAGAACTTGTGCATTAGACTAGGGAGGTAGTTGGGATAGTTCTCTACCCTTAGTAGAATTTACCTATAACAATAGCTGTCATTTTAGTATTGGGATGACACCCTTTGAAGCTCTGTATGGTAGGAGGTGTAGGACACCCTTGTATTGGGTAGAATTGAAAGAGAACCTTATCTTAGGACACGAGGTTGTGTAAGAGACCACCGAGAAGGTGAGGTTGATTCAGGAGAAGATGAGAGTAGCCCAGAATAGATAAAGGAGTTATCACAATATGAGGAGAAACAATATTGAGTTTAATGAAGGCGATCACATATTTTTAAAATAAATCCTTGAACAAAATTATTATGTCAATAAGCATTTTATCCCTGTATTAACTAGTGTTAGTCATTTATTTCTTTTATAGAAATATATTCTTTAAATAAAGTTAATAATTACAAAATATTTTATATTTTTAATATTTATAACGATAATATTTTTAAAATTGTCTTTCATATAAAATAAAATGATAGAAAACATGCATAATATAAAAGTAGATATACTGATATTTATATTTTTAAATATATATGCCCACCTATTTACAAAAATTGATAACCCACTTTAGTAAATAAAAATATGAATATTGAAAAGAAAAATACGACGATTTCGCATAGCATCTACCTAAATTACAAAATATAATAAATAATAGATTGTATTGTAATATGATATACAATTAGATTTATATAATATATATATATATATATTATTTGTACTGTTATTTGGTTGAATCGGAATATATATTTATCTTATTACTTTGAATGTTCAAAATTCAAATCATAAAATTTATTGATTATAGTTTCTTTAACTGCTCGAATTATATTTTGGAATATATATTACTACTATTAATTAATTTGAATTGAACTAATTTTATTAGTTTAAAATGATTAAATCATAAAAATATAATTTATTTATTATCATAATTATATATTGTATAAATAAAAATAATTCAATAATATTTTGACAGAAAAAAATGAATATCATAATGTGAAATTTGATCACGGAATCACACTTTAGTAAATAAGATGTAATAATAATCATTAATTATAAAATCAACTGCTAATATTATAATTAATTATAGATTTTATTATGCATGAATTTGATTTATGACAATTATGAATTGTTGCTTTTCTAATTAATATTTATGCGTGTACTTCATTCTCTAATATACTACCATTTTCAAAGAGCCAAATCTGGTGATGTTGGTCTTAAGTGACATTTGTCTATATGACAAACCTTTATTTTATAATAGATAATAATAAACAATAGATTTTACCTCTTAAAATAATCTTATTTAATTCAGTTTGTAATTTATTTTATACTTTTTTATGTAATTTAATTTTTATTTATCATAATTATTTATGAATTAAATATTAATATTTTAAAATAAATTATTAATAAATAAAAATAATTTTATACTACAATATAAATTATTTATCGTGAAT